CTCTCGGCTGGTCTTCCCTCCCGGCCTCGCCTCCTTAGTAGTGGCGGTCTTCTACATGTCCATCCATTGCGTGCTCCCAGACATCCTCGGAGTATGCGTGTTTGTCGGTGGGCTGGGCGGCTACGTCGTATACGATATGATCCACTACTACCTTCACTATGGCTCTCCGAAGAAAGGCTCATATCTGTACAGCCTGAAGGCCTACCACGTCAAACACCACTTCGAGCACCAGAGATCAGGTGAGGATTACATTTGCTAACGGCCTTAGAAGAAATATGGTTTTGTTTTTTCTTTCTTTTTCTGATGGGGATCTTTATTTTTCTCACCAGGTTTCGGGATCACCACCACATTCTGGGACCACCCCTTCAACACAACCATCCCTGATGAAAAATTCTGACATGGAAACGGCTCCCCCGAAGGGCCACAGGACTTGTCAACCACCCTCTTTTAGCCCCCAGCCTGCCTTCTCCAACCATCCCAACTCCTTATTTACATCTCTGCAGCCATATAACTTCCACAGACTAGGAGGAACTTCAGGGCCACTGCATCCAGTCCATTAATACTCTGTGTAACACATTAACCAGCACCACAATATTACCTTAAGCTCAGTCACCTGGGTGTGTGTCAACCTGCCTGCACTATTTACTCACTGTGATCATTTCCACTAAGATGTGAGGGCTTTCAGTGCCATTTTTTCCTTCTACTACTTCTTCTTCTGTTTTCATTTAAGAAATCTGCCCCCTGTGCTTTACCAACACCAACCTATCACCTGATCACCACTCAGAATGTCGCCGCATACAGCTGGGAGGGGGCCGTGGAAAGAAAAATCTCTTTTGTGATGCATGTGGTCAATTTGAATTAGATTTAATCTTTTAGTCTAAAATCATACAGGGGGACAACTGTGATTAAAATTACTAATCTGACAGCACAATGCTCACACAGCTCACAAACGCACACTGTTCAAGAGGTAACAGCAAGTGATAGATGGTAGGTGAATGTTGAAGACGGGTGGAGCGGAGGGGGTGAGAGATGATTAGAAAGAGTGCATGTGAGAGAGAAAGTGTGACAGAGATTGAGAGAGAGTACGCTAACTATTTAATCTACTGAGGAAAAAGGCTTCTTCCCGCCTTCGCATCATCTACAGCTTACATATTCCTTGTCACTGTCACTTTTCTCTGCTACGCTGCTATAAACTGTTGCGCTGCTAACAAATCACAAAAGTTCCCTCCACCACATTTGGGTTCGCTTGATTTAAGAAGCAGCCGTGCCTGGAAAACCTTCAGTTTCACATTTGTTTTTGCTGAGATACGTTTAACTTATTATCACCAAATCTGCAGGAGTGAGTTTATACTGTAGGAGGCTAATTCCATGTACTGTTAATGTGATGTAAAAGCAGAGTTCAGAATGTCTGAAACCCCTGTGGAGATATATTTTTGCAAGTCTGTAATATTTCCATCTTTTTATTTTTTTCCTCATTAATAATTCAACAAAGATGTAAAAATAATATTTTGTATGAAGCTTTGTACAGTAGAGGAGATTCTTTAATCGCACAGTCTTCATTTTGTCAGGTTGACTATATGTTAGAGAGTGAGTGTGGTTGTCAGGGTGACGGGGGACAAATCTGAAGGCATGAAGCCAGGCTGTCTGATTTCCTGCTGTGGGGAGCTTGGGGTCAAAGGTCACAGATTTTTGGAAGTGTTATTTTCTAAAAGTAATCTTGACATAGAGATTACTTCCTTTTAAAGGGGACCTATAATGCAACTTCTAACACCATGTTTCAAGTGTAGCTTGGCATGACTCACACGTCAAACTAATGCTTATTTACATTATACTAACAAACCATCTTAGCTCTCTTATCCCCTCCTCTTAAAGCCAACTTTCTTCTGATTGGATGCCTCTCAGAGCTGTGTTCCTTAGTTGAATATATATAAGGGATATCTCCTCTCTATGACATCATACAGAGCCAGGAGTAAAGGAAAGCTATCTGAAACTTGAATGTTTAGGGTAGTTTGAAGCCTGAGCTTCTGTCTCATGGATCACTTGCACATGGGTACGAACCTCTGTAACGGCACAAATATTACAGAAAATTAGGGAAAGCATAATAGGACGACTTTAAAGTCGGTGGTTTATTTTGGCCCTGCAGACCCTCCCTAGGATGACGATAAATCAACAAATCTGACTTTACAGCAGGAAGTCTTGACACTGACTGGTGGATCCGCAAAATGTCTCCTGAAAAATGCCCGACAACGCCGATAAGTGAAGTAGAACAAACTTAATTCGCACTCTTTACATGAATAACTGAAGAACAGTAAGAACATACTGCTGCTGCAGGAAATTTATTTTTTATCTACTTTTCTAGCTTGAATAAATACTTCCACTTATAAAAGTGTACATACAGCTGTATGTAATCTAATCCATCTGAGTTTTAACCATTCAAGAAGATTTGTAATGCAGAACCTTAACACCATTTATACTCCTCTTTTTTAAAAAATAAATAAATAATTGTTTCATTTATTTTTATACAAATTCTCTGCAGCAATAACAGTGAAGTGTAAACCTAAAGAGGGCTGAGGGACCCCAAAATGTTTCCACTATGACGAGATGAGTGGATTTATTAACTGATTTAGCACCAAAATGTGTCATTGTCTACAAATATCTGTTGATCTTTAGCTGTGATTATGATGATTATGAATGTTCAAGACTTTGTGCAGAAAGCATTAACTCATCAAAAAGAACCTAAAGAATGTTTTTAATGTCTGTTATGCTGATGGTTCTAATAATAATGATAAGACATGATGCTGCTAGGCAAAGTGAAATGATTCCACTTGTTGGAGTTAAATTTAAAAAAAAAAAAAACGATCTTATTTATGTATATTTATATGGTAAGAATGGAAAAACAGCAAATATGATTCTAACTTGTGAAATTTTTCTCTTGTGCTAAATTTTGCTGCAAAAAAAAAAAATTCCTAAATTTGTTTACTTTCATGTCTTAACTTTTGTTTTGGAATTTTTAAGTCCATGCAAATGCAAAGGTATTTGTAAATAAATATCTGTATATTTCTGATGTTGGCCTGTCCAGTTTTTTATTTTTATTCGCTGATTGTGGTGGCTTCCATTCTGCAACCGTGATGCGTGATGATGGATGATGACTTTAAATTACATTGTAAGAGATGAAGGGTGGAGTATTTGAATCTTTTAATCTTATATTTTAAAAACTGAGGTGTTGCTTTTGCCTCTGAATGTAGAGATGTTTTGGGGGGGTTCAAAAGACTTTCAATGTGACGTGGTTGTTCATGTCAGCGGTCACAGTAAAATATCTGGATCCCTTTGAGCTAAAAGAAAAGCAAAAGTAACTCAAAGTCCTTACAGCCAAGGTTTGCAGGCGAGCATCTCCGAATGCACAACACATCAAGCCCTGAAGCAGAACAGCACGCAGTCTTTCTGTTCCTCCGGTCAGCTGTGAACAGGAACCTGTGGTTGTAATTCAGAGGCTCACAAAAGCTGTACACCAAAAGGGTGAAAAAACTTTGCGCTGTGTGATGAGTCACGATTTCTATTGCAACACTTTCAGACACAAATTCGGACAGAATGTGGCGTTAACAACATGAAAAAACGGATCCTTTCTGTCTTAAAGTTTTAGGGTGGTGGTGTAGTAATGTTTTTTTGGTACACTTTGGGGCCAAACAACTTCCTATAAATTATTTAATCATCTAGTTTAATCATTAAGCAACTACTTTTCTGAACACGATAAGCAGTTCACTGCACTCAAATGGCCTCGACAGTCAACATACATCAATCAAACAGAGCACCTTAAAGACATGGTGGAACAGGAGGTTCACATTAGGGGTGTGAAACCAACAAATCTGCAGCGACCGTGTGATCATCATGCCTTAGTTGTTATATACCAGGAAGACTGAAGAAAAAGGCATCCAATCTAATACTGTCAGTGTGTACCTAATAAAATGACCGTGTATTCACTGCATGTGTGGATTAATTTGAACACAAGAAGCAGGGTGTGCAGGGTTATTTCTGCCCTAATTTATTTATTTTTTTAAAAAAGGTGTTTTATGAAAGAAAACAGATACTTGACAGCAGCTCACAGTTCATGGTTGTGTCCTGTGCACTGAGGCTCTCAGGAACATGTACACTCTAAACAGGTTGCCCATCTGTCACAGGGACAGTCACGCCAATATAAGCCATAATTATTAACACTTACGGACTGTTTGCACCATGTTATAACCTAATAACAATCTAATTCGAGTAGCATCGTTGTGCGTAAGCAGCTTTTTATTGTTTGTTTGATCAGTGGAGATCATTTTAACTAATCTTTGCTACTCTGTAGCTATTGGTTACCGATTAATCTGCTGATAATCTCTTCCCTGTTTTACAAGAACACCATTAGTAAAATGCAGGTAGCCCCAGTCCACCGCTGCAATCACAATATTTCACAGAATACAATTTCCATTTGAAGGATGAGAGAGTAGCTTTTGACCTCAAAATGAAGCCTTCAGTCTTAATGTTTCCTTAGTTAGACTTTCACTTTCACCTCATTGATCTGGGGTCTTGACTAAAGGCTGGTTTGCCAACTTAGATCACTTAATCTCTGGTTTTCCTTCCACAGAGTCTTTTAACCTGTCTCCCTCCCCTCGCCCACAAGTGGCAGCAGGTGGCTCGCCCTCCCTGAGCCTGATTCTGGGAGGTTTCTTCCTGTTAAAAAGGACTTTTTCGTTCCCACTTACCCCAATGCTAAAGTGATTGTTGGGGTTCTCTGTATCATTGCAGGGTCTTTACCTTGCAATATAAAGCACCTGGAGGTGACTGCTGTTGTGATTTGGCGCTATACTGAATTGAATTGACTGATCCAGGTTGAGAGAATCTGATTGGCTCCAAATTTGCATTAAAACCTTACCCACGCATGCTCTGTGTCTTCAATGTTATGGTTCTGGTGTTGTAGGAGGACAACAACAAAATCTTTGTGTCAGCAGCCTACTGTGTACACTTCTGTGTGCCTCGTGTTTCTGTTGCATAAGATCCTGTTTCTGTGTTTTCACAGATTTACTCACGCATTTCTTTTTCAAGACTTTATTCTTTGGAATATTCAAAGCCAGCGCTATAGGTTAGCTTCAACCCCCAAACCGTCTGAACATCTGTAGGTTTGTCTGTTTTTAACACAGCAGCAGAGGTGCAGTAGGACCTTGGGGTGCGGCTGCAGCAGTGTAACAGTGAGCAGACAGGAGGGAGGAGCCTGAATAGAAACCAAACAACCCTCCACACCCTGTGGCCTCTGGGAAGTTTCTCCGCATTCCTGCAATAGATTCAGACACACACACCTAAAAATTAATAGACAGGAAGCTGGAAGGAACCTGAAGCTGAGGCTGGGTAAGTGTGTGCAAGGCTGAGAGTGTGCTGCTCTTTTTCACAACAGCTCATCAGTTGTTGCCTTCATGTCCACTGTTGTGTGTGTGTGTGTGTTTGTGTGTGTGCTGAAACAGGAGTTTGGAGGGGCTACTGCTTTAGGACTGGAGACCATAACCTCATCATCCCCGCCCTGCCAGGTGCTGTATTTTCCTGACTCATCCTCTGTTTTACCGCTGAATGCTTCTCTGTCACTTTCCCCGCCTGCACAAACATAACTCAGTCACAGGAAGTGCTCTACTGCTTTCAGTTACGTCCTCACTAAGCGTATCTCTTGGTCAGTGTGTGTTCAAGTGCAGATACAGTGAAAATAGAGGAAGCTATTTTTCTTTAAACGTTGTTAGAGCTGATATAACCACAGCTTCCACCCAAGAAACTGCAGCATTTGTAGGAAGTTCGTATTTTAAGAGTTCACCAAGTAACTGAAATGACAGCCAAAGCATGCAGATGTCTGCAAAATGACGTGGTGAGCCTCACATGCAAATCTAAAACCTCCCTTGCTTGCCTGGTAGTTACCATAATGTAATAGCTGATGCATAAACATACGCTAGCAATAAATAAGCTGTTATATTATTGTACTCATGGTGTAAATAATGCGTTGTAAAAGGTCTCAGTGGAGTCACTTAATATGATAAATAACACGCCTCCATCTTGTCCTGCATTATAAAAAACGCTGCATTTAACTTTATTTATGCTACTTTTGAAGTATATGTTTAGTTAGATACTTTATTGATCACAGGAGGGAAGTAATGTGCTACAGCTGCAGGATGATATTTGTGTGCAGTCTCATGTCTCACAGGTATGTTCACCTGTCACAGAAACAAGAGTTATGATTCAGTTTTAAAGTGAATGGTAGGAATGATTTCCTGAAGCATTTGTCACTGTAGGGCTGGATCAGGTGACTCTGAATCCTCCCTTAGTTACACTGCAATAAGCCTAGGCTGCTGGGGCTTCTGGGGGTTTCCCATGATGCACTGAGTGTTTCTTCTTCACTCACCTTTTTTTTCTCCACGTATTATATGGGTATACACACACACTCTGCATTTAATCATTAGTTATTATTCATCTCTGGTTCTCTTCCACAGTATGCTTTTGGTCCTGTCTTCCTCCCCTTCTTCCTGTTAAAAGGGTGTTTTTCCTTCCCACTGTCGTGAATTTCCACTGTGTGTTCTGGCTTTCTCCCACTGTCCAGATATATGTATGGCGTTAATTATAATTCTAAAGTGCCCATGAATATGAGGTAAATAAAGTTCTGTATGTATGTGTGGTTAAATGTGACTTGTGTAGTCTCTAAAGTGTTTTGAGTGGTCAGTAAGGCTAGTCTGCTCACAGTGACAGTGTTAACACACAAGTATAGCTGAGGTTGATACAAATGTCATTAGTTGTGTGTGTATTTAGTCACCAATTAAATCTGAAAAATAACTTTTTGACCTTAAATGAAAAGTTGAGGATCAGTGTCTGTGAGCTGTCTATAGCTAACCACAGCCTTGTGATCTTTACAGGATGCACATGCTGAAACTTTAGCCTGCTGGCGGTTTTTGTTATACAGTCATTAGGCATTTATCCTCTGGGTACGGTTAATTTTGTGGCGATCACCATGATCAGTCTTCTTTACCTCTGGAGACCGTGAACAGTCTGTCACAGTTGTCACTGCTGACCCTTGAGCCACGAAGCTAGTGTGACTAAATAAGGGGAATAAGGTGGCGATGTTAGCACTGAGGGTAAGAGCACCAGTTAACATACCGTTTTATTGTCATTTGTGTCCAGTCTTATCATGAGTAAGGCAGGCGCTGATGAAGGTGGAGCTGGGGGCTGCGGTGATTCAGCCAAACAGCTGGAGGCTAAAGATGAAAAAGGAGGAAAGTTGCTGAGCAAACCGTCTGCTGGATCCGGCTGGACCAAAGTGAGCTGCCCCTGCTGCTTCTCAGAGCGGGTGGAGCCGCTGGTTCTGGTGAAGCTTGGCGGGAAAGTCGGCCCCGAGACGAAGCGCTGGCTCATCAAGGTGATTGGAGCTCCTCAGAAAGATGGAGGTGAGGGCTCAGATATCAGCAACAGCACAGAGCTCACTTCAGTTTCTGCATCGATTGGAAACTCGCTTTCAAAGAAAAAGCATGCGGATCAAACATTTATGAGGATTTCTCTTGTGCCAGGAATGAACGTAATAGGAGAATCATTTCCAGGAAACATTGCTACTCTTTAAACATTTGATTGAATTTGCATTTCCAAGCTACATGTCAGATAAATGCATTTAAATGACTCCTATGAAAATGTCTGACATGGCTGCACAGAAAGCATATGCCAGCCATAAACCACATGTCATATCAGATAAACACACAGACACAAAGAAACTACTCTTTAAGATAATAATATTTATGTTCTTTCACTTTGTTATCATTGTTATGGCAACTAAAGATGTTTGGACGAATGGATAAAAACTGCTCTGTCCACGACTCTTTGCAGTGTTTTGTGTTGAAGCAATGCTATGCAAACTAGACAAACTCATCTCCACATAACACCTTACTGAAATTCTAGCAGGGGCCACAAAGTTGGGAAAGGTTGGGGAAATCTGTATGAAAGGATGAACATTCGTGCTTTATGGTGCAGCGAGAAAAACCAGTTTTATTATTAGACAAGGATGGCCTGAGTAAGTACAAAGTGCAATTTCTAAATTCATTTATTAAAGGAAAAAAGTGGCCTTGTGTAAAAAGGAACTGCCCTCTAAACCCAGTAACTGGTTGTGCCACCTTTGGCAGCAAGAACTTCAACAGCATTTGCAATAAATCTTTCAGATTGGGACAAAAATTCCTTCAGCAATCTTCAAAAAGCCCCTTAAAGTTCTGCTTTTGTCTAATCAGTCCACAGAATATTTCCCTAAAATATTTGGGAATCATCAAGAGTTTTTTTTTTTTGGCAAATGTGAGACGAGCCTTTGTCTTCTTCGTGGTCAACACTAGCATGGATGCAATTTTTGCCAAGTCTCTTTCTTCTTGTTGAAACATGAACTCTGACCTTAACTGATTCAAGTGAGACCTGCAGTTCTTAAAATATTTGTATAGGGCTCTTATGTGACCTCCTGTGAGTCGTTGATGTGCTCTTGGAGTGATTTTGATTGGCTGGTCAATCCTGGGAAGGTTCACCGCTGTTCCACGTTTCTTATATCCGTGGTTCTCTGGAGTCCCAAAGCCTTAGAAATGACTCTGTAACCTAGGGGTAGGCAACTCCAGGCCTCGAGTGCCGGTGTCCTGCAGGTTTTAGATTGCACCCTGGGTTAACACACCTGAATCAAATGATTAGTTCATTACCAGGCCTCTGGAGAACTTCAAGAAATGCTGAGTAGTCATTTAGCCCTTTAAATCAGCTGTGTTGGATCAAAGACACATCTAAAACCTCCAGGACACCGGCACTCGAGGCCTGGAGTTGCCTACCCCTGCTGTAACCCTTTCCAGTGCCATTGTTTTTCAGTTATTTATTTAGATCGTTGCATGATGCGTTGCTTTTTTAGATCTTTTAGCTCCTTCACTTTGTCAGACAGGTTCTATTTAAATTATTTCTTGATTCGACAGGTCTGGCAGGCCTGGGCGTGGCTAGCGAAAGTGTACTCAATGTTAGGTTTTGTATTGTTGATTGTCATTTATGCTTAGAAATATTTAACCATATATGCTTAGAGGTGTATAATCAATTGTGTAGTGATAGGATGTGTGATCTTTAGCAGGCTGCAAAGGCTTGGTGTGTATTCCACACTGGAATGCACACCTACATCCTGGGAGCATGGGAAGAGGTCGTACCTTGTCTTATTGTTTTATGGCAGGATAAACGTGGCTTTATCTGTTTTAGGCCAAGTGCCTTTTGTTTAGATGAACTGTTGGACTTCCAGACCAGCAGGTTTAGGGAAGTTATTTATGGGGTCACACTCTGACCCCACACACACACACACACACACACACACACACACACACACACACACACACAGGCAAGGTACTCTTTGTTTGTATGTAGACGTCATATGTTAATGAACCTATGCATATTCATGTAACCTCAATAAAAGAGCAGTGTTACGGGGGAGCGGACGAGAGCAACTGGGGTCAAGCGAAGGAACGGCGTTTGTCCGGTTCTCTCCCGTGCACGAGAAACATGAAGAACTTTGCCTACTTCGTGTCTTGCTTGCTGTGTAATTATATTGTCTTCAACGTTCCAGCGAATAGGTTCAAGCTACAAACATATCACTCGGCTTTCCAAGAAATGGGGTTAATCACAGATGATTTGTGATTTACTTTTTTAAAATAGATTTTTTAGATTTTTTTTCTATTAATAAATAAAATCATAATTTAAAAAGTGCATTTTTTATTGACTCAGGTTATCTTAATGATCTGAAATATGTAAATGTGACAAATATGGAAAAATTAAGCTATCAGGATGGGGAGAAGATGCTTCTTCGCAGCACTGCACGTGTTTTAGACTGAATTGATTCTCTCATTCCTGAGTGTAAGGATGTTTAAGGTTTTTCAGCTCTTTGTCCCCGTTTAACCATTGCTTCACTGTGAACAGGTGCTGCATTACTGGCCCACCCGGGTGAGGACGCCAGCGGTGATATCATCGTGGTCTCGGCCCCCCGCTGCACGTTACTACGAGCCGCTGAAGAGTTGGGTCTTTGTAAGACTTACCGCAGCGGGGACATGGAGGCCTTCTCCTACAATGACAGAGACAACTTTAAAGATTCAGGTGCAGTGGAGCAGCTTTGGGGGAGCACACTTTACATGGTTAAACAAGACATTAGGAAGTACCCTGTAGAGCTTAGGGAGACTTATTAGAGCACTGTATCCAAGAACGATTTAGGAATATCCACAATTATTTATTTTGCATGAATTTCCTCTCTAATAGTAGCTTCCTAAAAATAATAAAATGACTTGCACAAACACTCTGGCAGGTGTTCACAGTACAAAGTCCAGTCTGTGTTCTTTCATTACTCGTGTGGGTTCAAAGAGCATTCGAACAGTTGAGTGAGCTTCTTACTACTGTGCTCAATTTGAGCTCCTTATTTTTCTTCGTGGATTCCACTACAGTAGCTTTGCATGATGCACAGCTCAAAATAATCCTCATTTGTCTGCTGTTGCGTCTTGATGTAGCTCTTTCACTTCAGCAAGCAGTTTCAGTTCCTCAGTTTGACAAAGCTGTAACAGATGACAGAAAGTCAGGAAAAGCATCATGGGTAAACGTTGAAGCGATTCCGATTGATTTTTGAGTATGCTGATTCAAAGGATGATAATGGAAAAACATTCACCAGTCTACTTGAACCAACTGAACCATTAGAAAACACTTTATTGTGAAAAGGCCAGCTAATGCATTTTTTGGATGTTTTAGCATGACAGCGAGGGTCATCTGATGTTACAATCTGAGCTTGACCTTTTGCACAAATCTCCTGTATCTGCTTAGATTGATCTTTTATAATACCTTTAAAACTTTGTTAAACTGTGCACTCACGTATTGTACAAAATAAATGTGGGATTTCATTAAAATCTTCACTATTTGACCTTTAAATGCTTTCTGGGGTCAAGGAAAAAAAAGATTAATCTCTATGTGCGTTTGTTTAATGCATCTCTGTTCATGTGTGTGACAGATAACATGGAGGTGTTTCTCACGCTGGCGGAGCGACAGTACATAGTGAAGTATGAGCTGGATGGACTGCGGGTGCAGAGGGACCTGAGGATACCCGGCCTGCCTGAGAGCCGCATGCTGCAAAAAAGAGACAACATCTGTGAGTGTGGTTTGTGCTTTTGTCATGTTTTCAGTGTGAAGAAACAACATCCACGTGTGTGTTAGTAATTTTTCTTAAGTCATTTATCATCATGGTGCGTTTGCCAGGACCCCCTTCCAGCTGTGGGCTAATACAGCTGCAACCCTACAAAGGTTTATGGATTTTCAAGGCTTTCATGACTTAATTTGTGGCTGGTCTAATAATTAGTTTAGTTTGTAATTAGGGATGGGTATCGTTTAGGTTTTATCCGATACCGGTGCCAAACCGGTACTATTGAAACGGTGTTGGTGCTTAAACGGTGCTCAAACCGGTGCTTAAAGAATGGAGAACACAAAATTGGTCCAAAAACCTCTCATGTTCAGCTGTTTTTTTTGTAAAAATATAACAATGTTAGCCTTTTCTGCAGCTATGGGGCATATATGGTATCACTCTTGGCTGGAAGCAGTGCTTAAACAATGGAAAAAACACAAACTTTGTCCAAAAACCTCTCATGTTTAACTGTTTTCCACTTTTTCTTTGGTCATTTTAGCCTTTTTGGCCAGGGTGAAGGGAGTATCTGCCATTAAACAAGAAGACAGCCGCATGTAACTACGATGATGTTTGCTAATTCACCTTACATGCATTAATGTAATAACGTGGTTAGCCTACTCAACGTAAATTACACACCAACAACATTAAGCTACTCACGCAGAGAAGAACGGCTGCTGCTGCATCATCATCCTCATCATTTCTGCTACACTGGCAGCCGCAGTAGATGTGCTTGGTGTGAGGTCTCGCAGCAAGCTATCAAATATGGCGCATTTTTTGGCTTTTAAAAAAAAAACGCTATGCGTCGCCAGGTGTTTCATCGGATTTGAGGTGTTACCTCCTTTGACAGTATCACAGTATCACCTTAAAGCACTTGTTGCAGGCTGCTGAGTTTACATATTTTGCTGTGAAGTACAGCCAGACTTTTGACCGCTTCACCTTGGGCATTTTTAATCTGTAGCTCTGCTCTAAAAGAACGTACGTACCTGGGCCCGCCTACTATCCTCAGAAACATAAAAAGATTGGCTAGAATTCAAAGTGTATGACATCTCAGGAAAAAAAAGCACCGAAATAAAGCATGTGCGCTGCTTTTCGGTCTGGTTACTACCGTTTATGTTACTACCGGTACGGATACCGGTACCCATCCCTATTTGTAATGAACATCACTTTTGCTTAGGACCTACTTTTAGCTGCGGCTTTATGTGCAGTTATTCTTCTTTGGTTTGTGGGACTGGCATATGAATGGCAAAGTTTCTCGCTGATCTGAACTGCTTCCCTCAGATGTGCTTATATGTACAGTTTAGGGATTATGATTATTTTTAAGTCTTCAAGTCATCCTGGGTTGAAGAGATTCGATGTGATGACACTGAGTGATGTTGCAGGGCAGAAGCTTTCCTCAGCCGGTGTTGTTGTGGACACGTTTCCCCTCCACAACCGAAAAAAACTGAAGGACCTCGGTGAAGCCTGGTACTCGGGAAATCAGCTGGCTCAGCCACTTGGTGGGTGGAAATACAACACACTGCTTTTAAGCTTGCGTGCAGTTTTGTTCATTCAAATAGCTGTAAAAATCTTACATTACATGCATTTGTCACTCCTGGAACGTATTAAGATTCATAATCGATGGCTGCGTGGATGTGCTCACACCAGATATTTCTGTCTAACTTATTAGATTCAGTCAATGACTATTTTGGAAGCGCTGTGGCGTTTTACTTCAGCTTCCTTGATTTCTACACCTGGTCTTTGCTCACACCTGCAATACTGGGCCTGGCCATCTCATACTTCTCAGGTAGGTGTGTGGATTTATCCACATATGGCCTTTATGATGTATTTGGCACTCAAAAACAACATGCTTATACAGTTGCTTGCAAAAGTATTCGGCCCCCTTGAACTTTCCCACATTTTGTCACATTACAGCCACAAGATGAATCAGTTTTATTGGAATTCCACGTGAAAGACCAATACAAAGTGGTGTACACGTGAGAAGTGGAACGAAAAGCATACATGATTCCAAACATTTTTTACAAATTCTCTAATTCTCTAATTATTACTTTATATAATGGGCCACTTATAATATATGATATATATTTGTTCTTTTTGAGTAATAGAGAAAAACTGTCCGAAATAAAGGACTTTATCTACTATAAAAGAGGTTTCTTCAGTTCTAAAATCAAATGGTGGAGAGTCAAAGCCCAGGTGGGCGTTGTCCCTTAAGAGGTTTGTTGACCTATTAATCATGTGACTTGACACTGGAGCCAAGGTGTGAAAAAAGGCATGAGTCATTAACAGCAGCGGTTTCGGGTGAAGTCGCTGTGAAACCGTGCATCACCCTGTCATGTTACCATTTGGTTTTAGAACTGAAGAAGCCTCTAAGATGAGCTGTGAAACGTCTTCACGAAACTTAAAGAAGTCCAGTTGCTTTCTTTTCAAGCTCCTTAGACAACCATGAGAACCTAACACAGACAAAACAGTTATGTATGCAGTTCCCACGGCCAGTAATTAAACACAAAGCACAGTGGCAGACCCTTTTTACTACATTTCTTTCTTCTGTTGGAAGTTTGTATTAATATTTAATAGAAACATGTCAAGATGAGAGTTTACTTTTTAAGAATTATTTCAGAAACCAGTTGTGGAAGTTTTATGGTGATTTTTATTAGTTGTTTTCATAAATTGTAGTTTTCAGGTAAGAAATATGCTGTTTTACCATATACAGTATAAAATACTGTGCTTCAAAGAAGAAAACACCTACACAGAATTGTCTTCTGTTCCTACCCTCATCCCCCTGAGCCTGATTCTGCCCGAGGTTACTTCCTGTTACTTCACTGTCACTGGAGTGACTCGAATTGACTTAAAATACAACTAATGCTCAAAGTAAATGTTTTCTGTAAGAAGAAGTGAACTTATATGAATTGGAAACAGTCTGAAGCAGGACTGTTGTTGGCTTTTTCCCACCTTTTCATTAAAGTCCTATCTTCTCCCACAAAGACCAGTGATTCCAGACTGATTAAATCCAGTTATTAAACATGAGATGCCCCGCTGTATGGATGTCACTGACAGGACACAAAACTCTTCCTGTCATCACAGGTGAGGTTAAGAAGGAAATGGTGGATTCGGTCTCGGGATCGAAGGTCATAATTAATGATGATGACTCAGGACCGATGATCAGCGGCCACATGCTTCAGGCGATGTTCAGCATGATCTGGTCCACGGTGTTCATGGAGCTGTGGAAACGCCGGAGCTCCTCGTTGTCGTACCGCTGGGGGACCATGAACCTCGCAGAGCGTTTTGCAGAGCCTCGGCCCAATTTCTACGGTGACCTCGGCGTAAACCCCGTTACAGGTCGCGTGGAGCCTCTTTTCCCTGAATGGAAGAGAGACCTGCGCATGGTGCTGGTGTCGGTCCCAGTTGTGGGGCTGTTTCTAGGTAGGTGCAGAAATGTTTTTTGCTCTATTTTCTCTGATTCTGCAAAGATTTAGCAGTAAAAGATGAAATGCCTGTCCCGCCTCCTCCTGCAGGGCTAGTGGTACTCGGTATGATGTGTTTCTACTGGGGGGAGGCCCAGGTGAAACAGCTACACAAAGACTGGAACTCCCTGCTGTCTCAGGCTTTGCTCTACATACCCTCAGTGCTTCACATCGTTTACACAAACATGCTAGGAAATGTTTACAGGAACGTGGCGCAGAGTCTGACTGAATATGGTGAGTGAGACTGAACTGCAAGGAGAATACAGACCCATGAGTTTGTTAATGCAGTGGAGATGTTTCTCATTTGAACCGTATGTGTGTTGGCAATTTTTAGGATAGAAATCCTGCACATTTAATGAAATGCTTTTACTGCGTCCCTCTAGAAAACCACAGAGAGGAGTCCGCCTTCGAGAACCATCTGACAGCCAAGATTTTGGTGGTTAGTTCCTGCTTTCCTCTCCTTTCGAACCATTATCTTATAAAGTACAGGGATTCCTCTTTGACAGGTTCTCCTTTCTTCCTTCAGTTCACCTTCTTCAACAATTTTGCCGTGCTCTTCCACATTGCCTTCTTCAAGCAGGATGTGCCCCTGCTTCGTAAGGTAACCTACGTCTTGCGCATTTTATGGTAGAAGCCAAAAGATTTCATTTAGAGTTTCTAACTCCGCCCACCTGTTTTGTAATAAAATCTTTCTGTTGAACATTATATATTCTGTACAGCTATTTCAGTGTCTGCTAAACAGACCCATTTAACTGTGTAAATAAACTGAAAGAGATAAGCAAGCTATAACTGCAAAAAAATGATTCTATATAGAAAGAAGGGCAGTGGTCCTAATATGAAGCTCTGGGGAACTCCTTTAGATAATCAGTGGAAAAGTGGAAGAAGTAAAGGGTGGCAGAATTATATTCCTTGTTTTACTTTCTTCAGCGCCTGGCGTCTTTGTTGATCGTGAGTCAGCTGGTTAACCAGGTGACAGAGGTGGTTATACCTTTCCTGGTGGACAGATTCATCAGCGCCCCCCACAGGACAGAGAGTGAAGATGACCCTAAGGAGGACAAATTCCGGAACCAGAGAACCCTGCCTGTTTTTCCTGTGAGGATATAGAAAACATTAGGCATGCACTGATAGGGTGAAATATTTAAAATATAATCTGGCCAATAGCAACTAAAAATATTTTTTCAGGCCAGTATCAGTGAATAAAGCCAATAAATACATTATAAAACACAGTTTGATTATAATACACTGAGAGTGATAGCTTCCTGTGGTGTCCCAGGGCCTGTTTGCAGAATATATAGAGCTCCTGGTGCAGTTTGGGTATTTGAGTCTTTTCTCCTGCGTGTATCCTCTGACGGCCGTGCTGCTGCTCATCAACAACATAACGGAGATCCGATCAGACGCCTATAAGATCTGCAACCTCTTCCGCAAGCCCTTCTCCCCTCCTGTGGCTAACATGGGCGTGTGGCAGGTCAGCAGGTCAGAACCTTTGTCACGCTCGTCCCGTTTATGAGCAAACAGTTCACGTTGTTGTCTCGTGTCCCAGGTTGCCTTCGAGGTCTTGAGTTTCGTCTCTGTTATTTCTAACTGCTGGTTGCTGCTGCTGTCGCCACGGTTACAAGAGCTGTGTCGCGAGGGCGGCCTGAGCAGCACGAACGTCCTGCTGTTGGCTGTTTTTGGGGAGGTAAGAAGAGAACTAAACAGCTAATCAAACACATTTCTGTGTATACCCCTGACATGTTTATCTTCGTGTGTTTTGCAGCACGTGCTGATCTTAATCAAGTTTATTATGGCAGCCCTGATTCCCGATGAACCCGACTGGATCAGGAAGAAGAGGGATCAAATGGAGTACACATCCATGCAGGCCCTGAAAGAACAGGTTAACGCCATCTCCACTGACTTCATTGTCTAGCATTTTGGTGCACTCCTTCATCCATATGACATAATTTCTTTGTTTTTCCCCCCTCAGAAGCTGCAACCTGAAGTGTCCTAACTGTGTTTCAAGGTTGATGAGATGGTTCTTGATGTCATTGGAGGCCACCATCTTTAGCGTTGTGTGGAACCCAGCAGGAGAAAAGTAGTGGATCTCCAGCGGGGCCCACGATGTTTACTGCTGTGCCCCTGTGTGATCCCAAAGTGTATCTGCAGCTCTTTTCTCACTGATTAAGCCAATGCTTCTGTGATGTGCACACTTTGAAATGCATCTTCATAATATCCGTGCAATTGAAACAGCAGCTAAATAGTTTATTAGACAGCAAAGGGAATGTAACTGTTACGCTGCAGGTGAAGGCCAAAGGTATTTTTTGCAGAAACCCTCTAAAATGTAATTAGAACTTTCGCCACAAGGTGGCAGCGTTTTATAAGAAAATTTTAGAGTAGTAGTCCAGCCCAACCAGCATCTTTAGCGTTGCTATCTTACAATTTGACTCCTGATTAATCTAATGTTTTTCTTTTTTTAAAGCATGGCCTGTGCTTTTCTAGTTACCAAAATAGCTGGGCAAGTAAGATAGTAACACAAATTCAGTGTGAATGTTGAGCTAACTCTCGCTTGAATAATTGGATGACACACTAACTCGCTGTACCATCTTGTGGTTCAAAGTGGTATTACAATTGAGCGCAGCGAAGCCTTAATTTCACTTTATTTGATATCTCTTCATCGTGATACATATACACAGGGATTTAAGTGGGCTGGATCGATCCAGCATATGCCATGGACTTGTAACATCATAGTCTGTTTACAGTTTTAATTGCTTTTTAAAGGTTTTACATTATTTTTAAATTGTTGTGTTTTTACAAATAGACTGTCCTACAGTAAAGCAGGTTTTTTTTTTAAAGGAAAATGTATAGAGCATTTACAATCAATATTTAAGAAAGGCCACTAGCAATTCTAAAGATGGGCAGTACACTTGGCAATATTTTTCATGGTTTTCTCTCTGGGGTCTTCTTCTTCTCACTGCTGCCACCTGGTGGTAAGATGCAGTTTGGGATTCATAGTTGGCAACTGTATCTTCAATGGAGTAAATATCAAAAACCAACAATTGTCCATGAAAAGTTAGCCTTTAAAGCTGCTTGAATCAATACTTTGAATACATGCTTGTCTACATCCATGATTTAAATGCTCATCCATGTTTACAGTCCTCTAAAGGCACAATTCTAAATAGATGCTAATGTCACTGTGTGCTTGCTGGATGTTTAAATTAACTTTACAAAGAAACATTTTTTGTGCCGACACCAAAAACTGATTTTTGCAGCTTTTAAAACCTCCAGCTTGAACTTACAGCTTGTATTTTTAGGAGCGATGACAGGTGAGTTTAGTGAGTATTGGAAGTGAAAAAGCAAAACACAGTGGTGTATTTTGCTAAATGTACTTTTATGCAAAGGACCAAATAATAGGAAATACTGTGGATACTCCCTTGAAGATACTGTCAACACGACAACTATAAAAGCTACTTTCAACTGTTTTCTTGTCATAAGGGATCACCACAGCAGCTGCCTTCACAGCTGATCTCACAGTTTTACACCAAATGCACTTCCTGACATTTAGCATGAGCTAAATACAGTAAACTGTGTACCAATGTTTGCACTGAAAGCAGTTAGGAGCAACCAAAGAATCGCTATGTGCTTTGCTTTTAGAAATGCATTATTTTTGTATGTGTGGGATTTTTACTTGCTTGTTGAAACCTTGTAGTCTCTATCACTATACGAGTGTTATTGCACTGTTCAGTGCAGATTAATCTGAGATATTATGAGAAATGTGCAGAACGTGAAGCCGCTAGGGGAAGCCCACCATGCCCTCTGCACATGCTGAACAGTGGTGTCTTGTTCTTAGATAAGTTATTGTATTATTTTTAGGCGTTAGTAGTCTTTTCAGCCACCAGGGGGCACCACACGTTTTTATTTTACTTGCATGCAGCTTTCCACAAGCCTGGTCCCTGCTGAAGGACTGATTCAGCAAAGGTGCTGATAGATGGTGAGAGTTTCTCAAGAGGCTTCAGGTGCACATGTACAATCCTGACACTAATCATAGGCCTGTGTGTGTTTGTGTGAAGTGGTCACGAGTTAATGAAAAGAAAATTTTAGACAAGGATCGGAGTTTCAGCTCTGACCACAGCATTTGCTGGCTGTCTCAATAAACTGACAGAAGGAATTACTTGTTGTGAAGTTCTTGTATTTGATTATATTGATCACCAGAAAACTAACGGACAACAATCTGGGCTCATTTGTGCAGTTTGTTTTCCTTTTTCTGGATCGTTTAGAACTAAACAAAATGATGGGAATATTTGATAGACACAATCATACTCTTGCAAGAAAAAGCACACAGTATTCTTTGCATGGTGCATTTTTACTGTGAAACAACTATGTAAAGCTACATGTCCACATCTTTGCAGTAATGACACTAATATAATGCTGACAACATTATGAGTTGCATAATAAATCTTGTATTTTATTATTTTAGTAACTCAGCTGCTTATAATGTGTAATTATAATATTTGGTTAGCACTGCTCCCTCACAGCAGTCCTGGGTTTGAATCTAGTCAGAGGTCCTTCTGTGTGGCGCCTCCTTATGACTGTGTGAGTACTTTCTGGGTAACCTGGGTTCTCTTGATAGTCCAAAAACATGCATGGGGTTTGGTTGCCTGTCTCCTCCCCTGACCCTTAATTGGAAAATTGAAGTTTGACTTATGTCTCTGAAAGCCAACAGCTGAGGGCTTGAAAAACAGAAAAATCCTGTATTTAAAAGTATTATTGCATATACAGAAAGTATTCAAAGGGATGTCAGCGTTAAACATCTGCAGCAGTAATAGTAAACTATTTAACAGTGACAAATATTTACAGTTTTGTGTGTGGTGAGGTGTTTTCATAATGTTTTGTTTCTTTTCCTAAAGGCATGGTGTGAAAGTTTCCTCTGCCACTTGTCAGTTAATAATAATAATTTAAAAAAATTATAAGGAAGTCAGTGTATTTACTAGTACTCCCTGTGATCCAAAAACTCTGGTCACAGAAGCCCCACCTACCTGCTATTTGCATCTTTCGTTTTAAAGGAGCAGCCAATCAGAAGAAAGTTGCATTAAAGGGTGAGAAGCTAAAACAGCTTGTTTCAGTGGATCGGTAGTAAGGATTTTATGAACTGTGAATCAAGTAGAGAATAAAAACATAAAGGTGGAAATGAGCTTTTCAAGAAGAGCATTTTGTTTTCAATCCGAGTTTCTGTGAAATAAACAGACTGCACACCATCCATCCTGCTGACTTATTCCATTTTAATAAATAAATACAGAAAAATAAGTTCATGGCTCCATAGAGATGTGGTCCTAGTTATAATGCAGGTCAGTAGACAGAGACGCACTGAGGAAAGACAGGCTGCAATCACACAGAAGCAAATAATTTTATCCCTCTACTGCACAGATTTTATGCTTCCACGGCTGATGAAACATGAGCGATAATCAGATTTCACGTGACGGCCGCTCTTTATGTAGGTGGGGAACCGACGATGGCGGGTCCTGATGAGAAATCCAATTTGTTGAGCTCATGAAGCTGCAGTGACTGACAACAGCAAGCTCTGGTTACTGAACTATAGGAGCAAGATGTAGCTTATTGTACAGCTTTGACCTTCTGTCACCCTACAAAACATTACACCTTTGTATCTGCGTCGAAAAGGAAAAAATACAGAACACACAGAGCCATTATATGTCAAAATAATCCCACATGGAGAGTCTCCTCGGCTACACAATAACAAGCCATTGTGGTTGGGGCCGAATGATCAACAAATCTAGCCATCCAGTCCCCGGACACCGCTTGTTAAAAGCTGCCAGCTACAGTAATCATACTGTGTGCAATTCATTATTCAGTGGGTTACCTCAAGGTAATTACAGTCACACGAGAACATAGAAACAACGACTGTCCTGTCAGGTCCAAGACACGTGGAGGTATATTGTGATAAATGACAGTATTAACATGCGCAAAGTCACATATCTCTTTAGAGAATTCATATCTTTGTCGCATTATAAAAAAAATTAATCAAGGAACATTATATCTGCTCATCCAAAATAATAATAATAATAATGATAATAATAAAAAAAGTTACCATGTTTAGCAGAATTAAAAAGAAAAATGGAAGATCTGCATCCCAATCAGTGACCAGTGAGTCTAGAAACACTTTATATGGTAAGTTAGGACAAGCCATTCTATTAATATATATTTATATATGTATGAAACAAGGATTAAGAGGACAGGAAATCATATCATCTCTGTCCTATCATATCATAACAGTCTCCGTCTTTCTTTACAACAGCTTATAATAAGAGCTTTCAAACACAGGCAGGATGTGCAAAAGGAAAGTAGTGCTACTCTGCAGCAGAATCAGATTCCAAATAAAGCGCGTAGACGGTCACATAATACATCTGTGCATCCCAAAAAAAATCTGCAGCTATTTTAATAATTATCTGTTTTTCTCCAAAAAAAAAAAAATCCAACAGTCGATGTTCTCATGATGTCAAATGTGTCTATTTTTTAAAAACCTCTTTTTTAGTCTCAATTTAAAGAGAATTCAGGTTTTGGTCCACTGGTCAAACACCCTTTCTCACAGTTTCCTGACAAAATAAACAAATCCATCATAATATTTGGCTGACTGATCAATAATAAAAAAAACACTTGCAGCTCTAGTTTAAAGGTCCATCTTATACATATGTAATAAAATAAGGAATCTGTAGAAGATAATCAATTAATGACTTTCAGAGCTTTTGCAGTCGAGACTAAAATGACACCGCTGTGATGTGAAGTATGAATCCATTTTATGCTGTTAGGCACCATCAAACAAATAAAATGGACTTTAGCTTATTCAATAAAAACTGCTTGTGGTTATCAGATCTCTCTCTCTTCTCTCTCCATCACCTTCTTTCTTCAGTCTCCCAAGTTCATATACAGTTAGGTCCAGTAAAGTTTCTAAGCTACACATTGGAAACAGTCTCGTTTAGTTCTGTGGTGGCTCCTGTACACAGCAGCAAAGGGACGAGGTTCTACTAAGTTTGACTACTGTACTCAGCACCAGCTCTCTGGGTGTTTACCAGACGAGCAAAGTGCTAGAGCGGAGTGTTTGCACGTATGAAGCTGTACACGGTCCTTCATGTACACTCAGCGGCAGAAAGCCTCAGCAGCGAGCTCAGCGGTCTGCCGCTTCACGCGATTTGTTCTCGGTAGCCGGTGACCCGCGGACCGCTAAACAGCCCTTGTCTCCCTAATGTGGAAGCAGCACAACAAATATCGCCGGGGCCGGTTTCACTTAGAGCACGTGGCAGCAGTTGTACTGAGCCAGCGGCAGGATCTTGGGCTTGTTGTGTGTCGGTATGTTGAAGGCCAGAGCTTTCTCACACAGAGGAAACTGAAAGAGACGCTCACGAAGCTTCACGCTGTGCCGTTTTCCCTGCTCCACCCTCGGGGCAGACTCCTCCCGGGTCGTCGCTGCGCTGTGGGGCTGACACCTGTCTGTTAAGAGGTCATCTCTACCGCTTTCTCCTCCCCTGTCGCCTTCTCGTCCTCCTCGTTGCAGCTCCATCTTGTTCCGCCTGGCGGAGGACACCGGGGAGTGATGGGGGTCAGGTTTAGGGAGAGGAGGATGGGGTTTGTTGGTGTTGTTGTTGGGTTCCACCTCCTCGTCCTTTCCTTCCTCTCGGGCTGTGATGTCATGCTGGCCCTGACAGCACGGCACACCCAAAGCCAGCTGGGAGAATGGCGAGACTTCAGGAATCTGACTGACCAGCCTGTCTCCATGACTGACTGGCTGATCTGAAATCACACACCCACTGTCTTCAGTTTTGATTTCTGTCTCCACCTCTGCTTTGTCCCCCTCCTTCATCACCTCCAATGAGCTTCTTAACTCTTCCTCTTCACTGCTGTCTTGATTGTCTGCTCCATCCTGTGTCTTTTTAGTTTCTCTTTCTGGCTCTCCCTCTAGTAAAGAGGCAGAGCCTTCCCCTTCTTTTATCATACTTTCGTTCTCTTCCTCCTCCTCCTCCTCCTCCTCCTCTTCTTCTTCCTCCTCCTCCTCCTCACAGATCTGCTGAAGTGCAGGAAGGTTCTTGGTGATGGGAGGCTCTTCAGCTGGAGGTGGACGCAGGGTGAAGCTGAGGCTGGGCTGCCACGGAGCAGGGAAGGGCTTGTCAGACGATGGCCTTGCAGCGAGTAGATCCCCGCACTCAGGCACTCCTGAGTGGGGAGAGCTGGGAGAAAGGGCCCCTGAGAGCCAGTGCGGTGGGGCCTCTGGACTGAGGAGGGCGTTATCCAACCCCTGGAGCCAGTGGTGAGCCTCAATCTCATCAAGTGAGGAGCGGCGAGATGGATCTTTCTGCAGCATCCTGGAGATCAGACTGACAGGAAAGACAGAGAATTTTATTGTTTGATGGAGGTGATGTAAACGTCTGTTATACTTTAAGCGATAAGCTTTTGGAGCGACTGATTTGACACAGAAAACGACCTGATTCTGATCTGATCTAGGCCATCGGCACACTTATTAAAACCCGTATGTCCAGAAGGATCTTCTGTTCTATTCAGCTCCTCTTCTCAATTGAAACACACCATTGTGTGACCGAGGGCAGAGTCATATGACAAGTGCCGGGTCAGATGTTCGAGGATGTGTTTGCTGCTGCAGATAATCTGACAAAAACCACAGGGCAGAGAGTATTTATGGCTGCTGCCTTTTTAACCTCAGAAGACCGAAGACAAGCTGGAAAAAACCTTTGGGGAGGAAGATGGAAATAAAGCTTCTGTTTTTTTTACACACACACTCTTTGGTATTCAAGGCTAAGGCCTTTGACTCCCCACTTGTGATGTAAATAAAAAACGGTGTGTAAACGATGTATTTCTAATGGTGCCCGTGTCGTACGGAAACGGCTCGATGATGACAAGAACCGTGAAATGAGCCTAAAAAGTGGCGTGCTGCTGAAAGTCAGATTTATTGTTGGTTTACTGGCCAGTAATCTGAACTTCCCTCTTTCATAACACAGAGAACAAAAAAGATTGGTGCTTGCACAGCATTACAGTCAGATGGAGGTCTGGACTTTGACAGCTTGATTCTTTTCTTTTTCAGTCATTGTAGATTTGCTGCTGTACTTGTAATCACTGCCTCACTGAATGACCCAATTTTCTGCAAGCTTT